CTAAATTGTTTTATGAATCAGAACATCTAGGCTCCAAGGACTACTAGGCCAATGAAATGTAAAAGTGGAGCGTTTCGACTGTCTTGTCTTCCGAGTGTAGCCGCGATGTCAAACTGTTGCGGCTGCCGGCCGTTACCCTCATGGCAAGGCTACTAAAAAGTTAATTGATATCATTAATAAGCTCAACAATATCCCTAGGCATTTTTTAACATTCCAGTAACCAATACAATAACAAAAAATGTAGTTATTGAAGCACAAGTTCTGACAAAATACATACTGTAATAAGTTAGCCCTTAATTTTATTTTATGTGTCCATGTTCTGACGTTTAGTTTACTTTTTATTTTTAAAGCCGTAAGATGTTTTATTTCATAACAAGAGTAGAAAGTTATTAATTAAATATTTAAGATCACGTCTGAAGTGGAAGATTAATCGAGCACTTTAAATGGCAACATGAATAGATTAGCGATCACATAATTAAAACTTTAATTCTGTGGTCGCTGGTATGGACCCACTTTCATTGTGTTTTTAACATGTCAAACTCATAAAATGTTTCAGGCCATAACTTCAATTTAAAGTTATTATTTACTTTAGCAGTACCGGTAGTAAACAATGTAATTATGAATTTTTGCAGGTAATAACTATGTAACGAAAACAGGTAATTTAACAGTATTGTAATGAAAATATTTTATTCTTATAGGAATACGTATAATAAATCTATAAAAAATCCAAATGTACTCGTTGGTATGGATTTATAATTGGTTCGGTTACAAATACTTGGTAATGAAATATTGCACTCATGAATAAAGCACATAGGCCTATACAACAACGCAGATCTCAATCGTCAAAGTAAGTTAATAGATTACCTAGTCTAGCAAACATCATACCGTACTATATAAGATTTAAATGTGGAAGTTTGTGTGTTTGTTTTTTTTTAAGTTCAATCACACAAGGACTGTTCAGATTGGGCTGAAATTTGGCATGATAATTGATCACATTCTATGGGGTAAAAATTGGTTTTTCTCATTTTTGACACTCGATATATAACTATTTCCCAATTTCTCCCTAACCCTTTTTGGATTATTAAACAAATAATTTCGTATTTTGAAGTGTAGATTTCCCCTGTTAATCTTATTGAGAATAAGGAAACTGTTGTAGAGACTTGTTGTGAGACGACAATAGATAAAATCGGCTAAGAAATGGTGGAGGAGTTCAACCGACAAAATTTCATGTAGCGTATTAATTATATAGATACTCCAATTTGACAGGTATTTTAGTAGGTATTAAGGGGACTTGTTAATTGAATAATTTACACTTTGGAGTCAAAAGTTAGCTTTCACTTTGGATGTTGAGGGTTATGTCTAATTGCACTTGGTTAATCTTTTTCATGTTTTGTTGAGGCGTGTGCTCCCGCTATCTCCGCGTCCCGCCACCTCCGAACCCAAATCTGTTCCTTATCCTCTAAATTCTTGAGTGACCCTTGTAATCCCCTGTCACCCTACTGTATTTCATTTTATTTTTAAATGCTGAATTTGTGTCACAAACGCTGAATGTTTACAGCTGTTACGTTAAGCAAATGGAGTTATAGCAAAAGCTTTAGTCTAGAAGATTAGCGTCGGCTGCTAGACTTTTTTTAAATTAAAACGTAATTTCTAGAAAACTGAAACCCTAAACTAAAATTATGCCTTCGACATATCCTAGTTCTCAAAATTATCTTTCTTTCGACACAAAAATCGTGTGGTTGATTCAGTATCGTGAAATAAAAAAACCCTGTTACGTTTTAATATATACAAGCTATTGGCCCGTCATACGTACGGGAATCGAGTAGTCAGTTAAAATTGTGTTTAATTCAGAACAGTTCGTTATGCATTTTAAATTCGATAATTTGAAACCCCTGAAACAGTTCTCGGGAGCAGAGCATTCGATTTGTATATACATCAATGGTCTTACTTATCTCTGTGGTCTACTCATATCAACTAATCTTACTTGTTTCCTATAACCAATGACAAAATCATAGACTAAATCAAATAACCTCATAGTTCTATAGAATATTTTACCATACAAATATTTTTCAAACAAAGAAATTATACTAACTGGATATTTTACTATCAATTCTTAAACAAAATAGTCAATATTGATTTTGAATTGAGTTTTGAAGATAAAAAATAGTACAGTTAATTTTAATGCGTATTTCAAAAAAATTCTTTCAAAATCCCTAACATGGGTACCCTTAAAACGGTCCCAGGGCTAAGCTAATTATCATGACATTATATAAATATAAAAACATCATTTCGCACCGTATTGTCATTGATTTGTGTTTCCGACATCCCTGCAAAACACGTTTGTGGCGTCCGCAGGCGTGCCAACCCACATATATTACAAACCGAAACTTTTCCTGACGCAAATTCCTATAAACCATATAGATTTTGCCTTATAGCTTTGTAATTCACTGGACTGCAGCAATCATATTTACCCTGAGTATTCTACACATTGTATATTACCATTAGAATACCTCAAAGTTGATGTGATGGGCTCAGGAAAAAGATTGTGCACTTTTCCTGATGCGAGTTCCTATCAACCATATACATTTTGCCATATAACTTCGTAATTTATTGGACTGCCGCAATCATACTCATACTGATTATTCTATACATTGTATATTAGCATTAGAATACCTCAAAGTTGATGTGATGGGCTTAGGAAAAAGATTGTGCACTTTTCCTGAAGCAAATTCCTATCAACCATATAGATTTTGCCTTATAGCTTCGTAATTCACTGGACTGCCGCAATCATATTTACCCTGAGAATTCTACACGTTGTATATTACCATTAGAATACCTCAAAGTTGATGTGATGGGCTCAGGAAAAAGATTGTGCACTTTTCCTGATGCGAGTTCCTATCAACCATATACATTTTGCCATATAACTTCGTAATTTATAGGACTGCCGCAATCATACTCATACTGATTATTCTAAACATTGTATATTACCATTAGAATACCTCAAAAATGATGTGATGGGCTTAGGAAAAAGATTGTGCACTTTTCCTGACGCAAATTCCTATCAACCATATACATTTTGCCATATAACTTCGTAATTCACCGGACTGCCGCAATCATACTCATACTGATTATTCTAAACATTGTATATTACCATTAGAATACCTCAAAATTGATGTGATGGGCTTAGGAAAAAGATTGTGCACTTTTCCTGACGCAAATTCCTATCAACCATATAGATTTTGCCTTATAGCTTCGTAATTCACTGGACTGCCGCAATCATACTCATACTGATTATTCTATACATTGTATATTAGCATTAGAATACCTCAAAGTTGATGTGATGGGCTTAGGAACAAGATTGTGCACTTTTCCTGATGCGAGTTCCTATCAACCATATACATTTTGCCATATAACTTCGTAATTCACTGGACTGCCGCAATCATACTCATACTGATTATTCTAAACATTGTATATTACCATTAGAATACCTCAAAGGTGATGTGATGGGCTTAGGAAAAAGATTGTGCAATTTTCCTGACGCAAATTCTTATCAACCATATAGATTTTGCCTTATAGCTTCGTAATTCACTGGACTGCCTCAATCATATTTATACTGAGTATTCTACATATTGTATATTACCATTAGAATACATCAAAGTTGATGTGATGGGCTTAGGAAAATGATTGTGCACTTTTCCTGATGCGAGTTCCTATCAACCATATACATTTTGCCATATAGCTTCGTAATTCACTGGACTGCCTCAATCATATGTATACTGAGTATTCTACACATTGTATATTACCATTAGAATACATCAAAGTTGATGTGATGGACTAAGGAAAAAGATTGTGCACTTTTTCCTGATGCGAGTTCCTATCAACCATATAGATTTTGCCTTATAACTTCGTAATTCACTGGACTGCCTCAATCATATTTATACTGAGTTTTCTACACATTGTATATTACCATTAGAATACATCAAAGTTGATGTGATGGACTAAGGAAAAAGATTGTGCACTTTTCCTGATGCGAGTTCCCATCAACCATATAGATTTTGCCTTATAGCTTCGTTATTCACTGGACTGCCGCAATCATACTCATACTGATTTTTCTATACATTGTATATTAGCATTAGAATACCTCAAAGTTGATGTGATGGGCTTAGGAAAAAGATTGTGCACTTTTCCTGACGCAAATTCTTATCAACCATATAGATTTTGCCTTATAGCTTCGTAATTCACTGGACTGCCTCAATCATATTTATACTGAGTATTCTACACATTGTATATTACCATTAGAATACCTCAAAGTTGATGTGATGGACTAAGGAAAAAGATTGTGCACTTTTTCCTGATGCGAGTTCCTATCAACCATATAGATTTTGCCTTATAGCTTCGTAATTCACTGGACTGCCTCAATCATATTTATACTGAGTATTCTACACATTTTACATTACCATTAGAATACCTCAAAGTTGATGTGATGGGCTTAGGAAAAAGATTGTGCACTTTTTCCTGATACGAGTTACTATCAACCATATAGATTTTGCCTTATAGCTTCGTAATTCACTGGACTGCCTCAATCATATTTATACTGAGTATTCTACACATTGTGTATTACCATTAGAATAGCTTAAAGTTGATGTGATGGGCTTGGGAAAAAGATTATGCACTTTTTATGTTCGGAGTTTTAATTGTTCGCGTTATGTTAAGCCTTAGCTACGTATAATGTACAGTACGGTCTCAAATATGCCTTTTAAAATACGTCAAATAATTAGTTTTAACTTGTATACACGTTTTATCAATGTATTATTGACATTATATAAATATAAAAACATCATTTCGCATCGTATTGTCATTGATTTGTGTTTCCGACATCCCTGCAAAACACGTTTGTGGCGTCCGCAGGCGTACCAACCCACATCTATTACAAACCGAAAAAGCGCCGATGAAAAGAGCCGCTAACTTCACGACGGTTTTTAGGTTAGGTAGTACAGTACTTGTCTTGTCGTCTGGTCCTATAATCAAAATCAAAATAGAAAAACATTCTTGATCTAGGGGATGTTGTTGAAGTTATACCTAACCCAAAAGAGGCTATAATAATACTATTGGTTTGTAATTTGTGTACATTTCGTTGTTATAGCTTGAGTTTGAACCTAACTTCACTAAAGCGGAGAGCCTAGTCTACACCGATAATGATATTGTAGTAGGTAAGTAGGCATTTGAAAATCATTTTAGCGAATTTCCCATATAGGAAATAAGCTATTACCGTAGTACTCATGGTAAGACCTGGACGCGGGACCGATTTTTTTTTTCATTTTGAGGTCCCTAGAGGCCAAAAACACTATCCGTTCAAATTCATATATATATATATATATTTATATATTTATATATATATATATATATATATATGTGTCCGTTAGCACGATAACTCGAGCAAAAATGATCCGATTTTGATGAAATTTGGTACAAACGTGTAAACCTACGTTTATTCGAACGAGTTCGCGATCCAGCATGATCGGACCATGGGAACGGGGGTTTACGGGGGGTTTTATGGGGTAAAATTAGGTTTTTCCCATTTTTGACCCAAAAAACATAAAATTTAGCAATTTCTTTCCAAACCATTTTGTAGAGCTTAAAAAAACAAATAATTTAGTATATTGAAGCGTTATTATGCGCCTAATGGTTACGGAGAAAATTCCGAAAAATTGTAAATTTAAAATTCCCATGTTATTCTTATGGAGAATAAGTAAATTGTTGTAGTTTGCTTGTTTATGAGCATATTTTGATCAAATTTGGAAAATGTTTTTATTTCTTACTAACTATTAACGTTTAAAAAAAAAAACACAGTTTTACCCTCCCTGATGCAGCAAACCTAAGTACTAGTTAAACTAATTCTATTTAAATAGAGAATAAATGTTATATTTTTAAGTAGACATTTCAGTGTAAATCCAATCAGTCAAATGGAAATTCGCTTAGTCCGCAGGTTTGCTGCGGCGGGGGTATTTATATTAACTTCCATGCTAAGTAACCTATTACTAGGCCTAGTTGTTTTAATTGATTTTAGATAAAGATAAGTAAAGAGTATAGTGTTTTATTGCTGTATTTTGTATACTGAAGCCGAAATCCACATAGGTTTCACTTACATTTTTGGAAACAGCCAAACCAACTCAAATCTAACTTAGGCTAAGTTTACAATGGAGACATAACTTAATGCACAATTTCGTTGCTCCAATGGGAAGCAGATAGCGTTGCCAACTCAACTGTAGTCATTTTAGCCGACAAATTTGGCCATAAGTCAATTCTAGTAATTACCTGGAACCGAGTCTTGATTGGGATATCCAAAAAATGCCCGGAATTCTAACTTATAAAATTTTGAACAACTTATTGGTAAAAGCAGTGTTGGGATGAGTGTTATTAATACTTAGCTTATTATAAACAAAACAAAGCTGGAAGCTTAGTTGTAATAACTTAGTGTCCTGATGACAAGGTAGTGGAGAGGGGGAGCTATGAAGAGAGCAAACAGTAACCTACCTATCAATTCTAACAATTCAACATGTACGGTCAACACTAAACATTATGCTGGAGATTTTAGTTAAAGTGTGTCTTTAGACAAATGCAAAGAAACTAAAATGGATCATATAACATCCTGAAGCAGTAGGCCTGCCTATAACCATAGACAAATAGAATAAATATAGACCGTCAGCTGTGCTGCAGTCAGCATAAGTTCTGGCGTCCACCGCTAGGTTTGCTGTCTAGTTACGGCGCACACCGCTGCAGCGTCTGCTGGTCGCAAACGGCTCCTGCGCTCCTCGCCTGCAGCAGTGTGCGCCGTAACTACACGGCACTACTAGCGGTGGGCGCCGGAACCTTCCTTTGACAGTCTATATTTATTCTATTTTTCTATGCTATAACTCACAATTCAGGTTAGGTTGGTAAGGTAGGCCTTTATGTCAGTTGAACAACTTGTTTTTGATACTTAGTTAAATGTTAGGTTAAAATCAATTTCCTCCTGAATTTTTTATTGTAATACTGGTTGTCATTATTTTAATCACTGTCAAACATTCGGTCATCTCCCTCCCTCTGAGTAGGGAAGGTGTTGTACTTTGGACCTATACTCATTTTAGCACTATCTGTTAAGTAAATGGAGAACTTGTACCATTAGTTAATGCTTTTGCTACCAGAGGTCTATCCTGATGTGTTAAAGTTGGAATTGTATGTGTCCTATTGACAGGAAAACTGTAACAAGTTTTTATAAGGTAAAAGTAAGTGTATGCAACTTTTAATTTTCTTTTATTATGTTAGATTTAATGATTGTTTCTCAGCTTGCAATTTGGTGCTATAAACCAACAACTCAGCTACAGTTTCATATGATTCACACCATGTTAATCCTTACCTAGAATAGTCTAGAACCAAGTTTTTACAAAATGGCCAGGTGTTGTACCTTGGACCTAGTTCATAGGTTGTACCATGGACAACCACACCATCCATAGCACACAGCTATAAGCTTTGGTAGCTTAGGCTACTAAAAGCAGACTTAAATAATTTTGTTAAAAAGGTTTAGGCTACTATAGGCATTTGTAATTTAATTTGCTATAAACGAACAGGACAGCCCCCAAGACAGTAAGACGAATATTTGACGTCTCAGGCCTTAACTAGGCTATAAGTAAACTTAAGTGAATTTCTTACATAATATGGTTAAAATATGTATTGTAAGGGTAAGTTTTTTTTATATTTTATCAAATAAAAACTAATTATTAATTTTATAACATTTTAATGTGTTTCTACATTTATTTCCTCTACTTTAAAATCAGTGGTCCAAGGTACAACATATGTAGGTCCGAGGTACAACGTAGGTATTGTACCTTGGTCCTAATGTTAATAATTGTTTAATAATTGAAAATATTTGTTTTGGGTTTTAAAAAATAAAGGGTTAAATAAAATATATGTATTGTGCCAAAGAACAATGATTACTTTTCCCTAACATTTATTGTGTTTTAAAGTGTCATATCAAAATAAGAAAATAAAAAGGTAAAATAGGCCCATGGTACAACACCTTCCCCTATCAGTCTCTGTCACAGCTTAGTGACTGTTAGCCAGGCTTAGCATAGGTCTGTAAAATTTAATTTTTTTCCTTTTCGTTTTCCAAAACAAAAGGAAATTTGGCACTTTTTTTACTAAAATGTTGACTAACTTATATTTTATGTTTAGTTTTAGAGCAGCCAATGAAAGATCAGAATGATGACAACACACAAGTCTGGTGGTCAGTCTGGTCGCAAGAAAGTCCAGGTAAAATCTCATTTCTGTCTCATCAGTCTCAATCCCGTTTTCACATCCTGACGGATGGATTCTACATGTTTGTAGATGATGCTGATCGGAAGAGGGAGCGCTTTTGATTTACAAAATCTTAAAGTATAAAATAGTGTCAAATTACATTAAATTAAATATTAGTTAAAGTTTTCTCCTGGATTTCTACAAAGCATGTCAATGTAGCCTAGGTATTCTACACACTGTAGAAATGGTGTGGCTGAACCATTAGTAGAGATTGTTTTCTTTATCTTATCAGGACTGGTAATTCCCGCCAACTCTCTGGCGGGAACCATCTTAATTCTAGTTCGTTCAATGATGGCCCTCTGCATAAGCGCTGTGACCTCAGATAATGGATATAAATAAAGAGTTTGTTACTTTATGTTAATTGTTTAGTTACCGGTATTTAAGAAAAGGGCAAGAAATTTAAATTAATTATTTATTTTGATTTTACAAATTTTTGCTTTCTAGGTCATCTGGTTTGCACTTGTGGAATGGAAAGGGTTAAGCCTAAAGCATTTTTTTCGACCCATTTGACCCATTCAACATTTTTTTTTCATTTCTCTCCCTAAAGTTATTTTAGCGAATTTCCCATTTAGGGAAAAGCTATTACCGTAGGTCACAGAGCAAATAAAAAAACTTAAATTCCTGTTATTTTTATTGAGAATAAATCAACTGTATTTTGCTTGTTTATGGATAAATTTTAATAAAATTTGGCAATTTATTTGTTTTTTCTCATACTTTGCTATCAACATTTGAATAGAAAAACACCTGGTTTGGCCTACCTTCCCTAGGTATCAAATCTAAGTAGGCCTACTCATTAAAATTAATGTTATTTAAATATGAAATACTTAAATACTATAATACTAATAAATCTAATAATATAAAGGAAACATTTTAGTGGAAATCTAGGTAATTGGAAATTTGTTTAGTCTGCAGGTTTGCTGCGGCAGAGGTATTAAAGGTTATGCCGTTTTTTATGACTTGCATTTGTAGTTCAATATGATATGTCTTTTATTTTATTTATTTATCTACACGGATTTACAATTTTTACATAATTTTGTAACAGAGATATTACAATAGGCCCTACTTATTTGTTAAATATTCAAAGGACAAAAACAAACTTACACATAACAACAAGATCATGGAATGACAAACAAGATTAGGCTACAACAAAACCTGGAACAATTGAGTTGAACCATATGATTTTCAAATTTATCTTGGAAGTACTAAAATTTATCTTGAACGTACTAAAATTTATTTTGGACATGCTAAAATTCATCTTGGACGTACTAAAATTCATTATGGACTTAAGAAAAATTAAATTACATTATACAATTATGTGCATTAAAGGTTTGTGATATTTAACAGTATAACAATATATCCATATTTTAACAAAATAAAACCAAAACAGAAAAATGTGTGTCCTCCTCCATGCTAATTTAAAAAGAAGAAAAACAGGTCTTTTGCAATACTTTGGCTCAGGCTTAAAGTATCAATCATTGAAACTATAAATTATTGTAAAGCGGCAATCTCTTCTGATGCATTGTTTACTCATTGACCGCAGGTATCTTTTGTTATTCGGGATGAAGTAGAAAAACAACACCGTGCAGGAGTGAACTCGCTCCAGTATGATCCGACATTGCAGAGGCTATACTCAGCGGGTCGAGACAGCATCATCCGCACGTGGAACTGCAAACAACCCAAGGATCCGTACATCCAGTCCATGGAGCATCACACGGACTGGGTCAACGACATCGTTCTATGTTGCGGCGGGAAAAACTGTACGTTTTACAGAGTTCTAGCATGTATAAAACTAATCGCTGAAAAAAAAGTATAAAAGTATAAAATGTATAAGATGTATAAGATGTATGTATAAAATGTATAAAAGTATCGCTGAAGCCAGGTAATATGACCCTTATTAGTGCTTATGGAACAGCTGTAGCCAAATTTATTGTTAGTTTTGTCTGGTGCACTGTAGGTTGGGTTTGTTTACAATTTGTTTCTTTTGTTATAACATTCATTTAAACCCTCGTTTAACCAAATAAAAGTACAACCAAACATAACACGCCATTGTTGGGATTGACGCCATTCTATGTACGCATGTATAAAAAAATTAATAAAGATATTTTAATCTTGAATTCATCTTGAATCATAGTAAAGCTTCAATCATGAAGTTAACCCGTAAATAACAAAAAAATAAGCTAGATTGTGCATGCTCATTACTGTAAAGATTTGATTACAGTATGTCTTTGTTACAAATATGAGGATTTTTTAGGTCATAAATTGTTAGTAACCAATTTCTAAATTTTTATCTCTTCCTTTCGATTATGAGTTGGATTTATATTGTTATTAGCTGGCCCGACAGACGTCGTCCCGTCCTAATGTGGTTTTATGCCAAATGCTCGTTCATTTTCAAGATGAGCTTGTTCGCAAGGCTCAATCACGTCCATTTAATACTTTTACAGTGATATCAGCTAGTTCAGACACAACTGTGAAAGTGTGGAACGCTCACAAGGGCTTCTGCATGTCAACGTTACGTACACACAAGGACTACGTGCGAGCGCTGGCGTACGCTCGGGACAGGGAACAAGTTGCGTCTGCTGGCCTCGACCGTGCAATCTTCCTCTGGGACGTTAACACTCTTACGGCACTCACTGCCAGCAATAACACTGTTACTAGTAAGTTGGTCACTTTTATATTCAAATGCATTGTTTCCAGATTTGTACTTTACTTACTCTATGATTGATAACATTATACAATTACTCACCTAGTATTATTGATTAGAAACTCAAAGGTTGTTTGGTTGATGATGTAAAATTTCATTTTTCAAAAATGTCGTTAGTGTACTTCTATTATCTACAGGAAAATCCTGAAAAGTTACTTATCATACAGACCAATTTTCACAAGCTGGGGCGATTAGGTTAGGTTGTGGCAATTAGATTAATGTATCTAAAATACTAAAATGCTGTGGAAAGAGATGAAAACAGGTCCACAACGTAGGGAGTGGTGAAGGAAGTAGTAAGGCGAGCAGTGTGGAGTTTGGGTATGGATTAATGTATCTGCAACACTAAGACTGCTTTTAGAGTAAACAAATGATTTTCCCCGAGCAAAGCTCGGTCCCCAAGTACTGATAGTAATGTAACTAGAACTTCTGACATTGCACACATTAAGTAACATCACAAAAAAAAACTCTAAAAATTGATAATCCTTTGAAACACGTTGATAAACATTTCTTCTATGTGATACTTCCATGTTTTGGAAATTTTTGCATTAAACTGTAGTAAATGTAAACATTTTTGCTTAATTTTCAGCATCTTCTTTGAATGGAAGTAAAAACTCCATTTACAGCCTAGCAATGAACCCTCCTGGTACTGTGATTATCAGTGGAAGTACAGAGAAAGTTTTGAGGGTTTGGGACCCACGGTCTTGCAACAAACTCATGAAACTCATCGGTAAGTAATCATTTAAATCAGTTATCAATCATAACAGGCACTATCAAAAACCTTTTTAGGTCTTTTACTTACACATATTACTTTTGATCAATTTATAAATTAAATGCTCAAGCTAATGGCATCAGCAAGGTATTATAAATATAATATATATGAAATTTGTTTACAAAGTACAAGTTTAAACAAACTTTATACATTTGTATTTACAATGCAAGTTGTTGATTTTCAGGACACGCAGACAACGTGAAGGCCCTGGTAGTGAACAGAGACGGAACTCAGTGTTTGTCAGGCAGTTCAGACGGAACTATCAAGCTGTGGTCGCTCGGCCAGCAGCAGTGTGTTCACACCTTCAGAATACATTCCGAGGGCGTCTGGGCTTTGCTGGTAAGGACGATCAAGATTTGTAGAATATGTTGTTGTGCTGTTAAATTAACAGTTTATGTTATTTTGATTTATGGGTCAATAAGAAACCCAACCTAACTGTTTCTCACGTCTATGAACTAGTTTGGGTAGGGCTTGAGTTCAACGAGCTCACTCAAGAAAATTAGAGTTCAGGGGCTAAGATACTCAGATAAATGATCACAACACACAACAGGGACTTGTTCAGAGAAGAGATTGAAGAGAAAAATGTAGTATTTTTTGTCAATTTACTTGTTTAAGAACTTATGTACCTAGGGTAATTGTGGTCTTTTAATTGTGTGTATATATATATATATATAAGCTCTTGGGCTCAATTTTTCAGCTAATGCTGTCCCTTTTCAAAATAATTCCTAACCAGCCGCTTGGGTTTCCTTTAAATTATAACCATCCATTTGAGCATTTAACTAAATAAAACAGCTGCAAGTCGTACAGTTCCTGGCTTGTACTGCTACTTTGGATCTTATAACTAGTATAATGCTAGTATGCCAAGGATTTTGGGAGACCATTGTAGTTAGTCGATCGTTAAGTTTGATCAATGACTGAATAGTCCAAGGCATTTTCTCCCTAGCCAGGAGAGGGGTAATATCCTGTCTCAGTAAAGTGAGATTTACAACTAATAAGCCATCTGTCTGTGATATAGTTTAGTAGAGTGTTAGGTATGACAGGATTGTTGAACTATTTGTGAATTGCACCTAAATTGGGAATTTTTGTTTAAATCGATCTATGAATAATCTCTGAAACCCAAAAGTGAACATAGGGTTTACTGACAGCCTCTAAGTGTTACCAAACTTAACACTATGGAGAAGGGTGATGATTTTGATTCAAGATTCAACCATTCAATGATTATACTTCATGATAAATATTTGTAATTATACTTTATACTCTTTATTCTAACTACCTACTTTTGTGCATTTACTTTTCAATGATCAGTATTTTAGTATGCTAGGTATTCTTTTCTACACTAGAACAAAATTTCAGTGTGTAGTGAAATTTGTGGACCAATAAGTCCCAGTACTCTGATGTTCTCATTTAAGCTAAGGTAGGCCTCCTCAATTCTCCCTCTTTCTACAAACATAAAAAAACTCATAAAACTGTATGGACTTTTCCCCCCTAACCATGTATGAATTATTTATCAGGCAACGGAAAACTTCACCCATGTGATATCTGGAGGCAGGGATCGGAAGGTACTCATGACAGACTTACGGAACCTGAACAAACAGTCAATCTGCATCTGTGAAGAGAGCGCTCCGATCCTCAAGATGGCTGCCCCACCTGACTTTAGTGGGGTTTGGGTAGCTACGTCAGAATCTACCATCAACTACTGGGTAACTTTTAAAAAGAAGTATTCTTTTGTAGGTTTAAAATACAAGTGAAAGCAATTTTTTTTTATGATTCGTGAAAGTATTAAATAAAGCTGAAGATCTGGTGTTCATTTTCTTTGATTTTATTGTTAGTAGGCCATTATTTAATCTGTAAACATATTTCTTGATACTTAACAAAGAAATTGCTAATTTGCTAAAATCAGAGTATACTGCCTAGTGATAAGAGTACCGGTAAGTAAACTGATTCAATATTGAACTATTTTTATATTTAAATATATTTTATACTAGTAGAGTACCCGTCCTTCGTACAGGGTTGGCGTATAAGTATGAAATGCATTTGCAGTTATACTCGTGCTTTGCGTTTGCAATGGGAGAGGACACGTTTTAAGAAAGAAAATAATAAAAGCCCTGCTCGATTTCCTGACTTGATACTCAATCATTCAAACTCTTAGGTTAGACTCGGTACAGCTGAAAAACTAGCCACTTCTAATCTTGAATTAACCCTACAATTCAACAGTGACCTAAAAACAGCTATATATAGTAAAAATCAGTTATTAGATTGGATTATTGGACTAGTATACATCCAGATTATTGAAATTTACTGTGTAGAACCCGGATAGCAAGTTTCTCATGGGGATTATCAAAATACTTGTAATCAAGCTTGACTTCTTATAGCGGTTTGCAATAACATGTGATTAGAGGTGATATAAAACCAAGGGTATTTGAAAATGAGACGTCTTGTTGTGATTTGCAGGCGGTACCTAAGAGGGACTGGATCTCTGATGGTGGGGTGGGCTCGGGGGACGATAGTGATTGCATGAACGGAGTCACACCCATCAACGCAAAGCCAGATATGACCATCAAAGGAGGTCCAGCGATACGCAGGTTCCACATCTTGAATGACAAGAGGCACATACTGACACAGGATACAGAAAACAACGTGGCCATCTTTGATGTTTTAAAGGTAAATTTAATTTTCTATCATAAAATAAATATATCAATATCAATTAATAAAATCTAGTACCGGTAGGTGTTGAGTATTTGTTTAACTAAGCAAAATGATGCAGTAAAATATAACCCAGAGTTACATAACAGAATAATAGTAGTACTAAGTAACTAGTTATGAATTATTTCATAGATTTTGTAAATAAACATAATACAAACTATTAACTTATTTCATAGATGGAACAGCAAGTAACAAATTTGTATTGAGAGTATAACTGGTCTGTTTATCACATAATCTTTCAAAAATCATAATCTTAACAAACCTCAACAAATTTTTTGTATTTCTTTTTTAGGCAGATCATAGTCGACTATGGTCAGGTATCAAGAAAATATTATCCCATTATGATGGGGTTTTTTGTTTTAAGTTTTAATTTGTGAGAGCGATAAACCAAAACAAGGCGACCTCTGATTTGATTATGAATACCGTAGTGGGCAAAACTATCCCAAAAACAATATCATGAGATTTTTTCAATGAGGAGTAGATTATCCTTAAGTAAGGCTTTGAAATTACAAATATAAATAGTTGGATAAGACTCTAAATGTTACCAATAATTTATTAATACATAAAGCTTTTTCTGTTCATAATGAACATTTTTTGGTATTAATGAAATTGTTTAATCTTATATTATAAGTAATTTTAAAAAAATGTTTTTTATTTACAGGCTTGCAAGGTTGAAGATTTGGGACAAGTAAATTTTGATGAAGAGGTTAAAGCAAGATTCAAAATGGTGTACGTTCCAAACTGGTTTAATGTAGACCTCAAAACTGGGGTAAGTTTTACTACTTTTTTAATGTACTGTAATGTGAATGTTGTATTCTAGTGATACCTACCAGATTTAGCTTAAGTTCAACGTCTCTAGTTTAAGGAGTTCTTAAACAGTTTGATCATTGAGAATACATTTTACCAAAAGCAACGCACAACTCATAAAATTGCATTTTATTTTGGATGATTACTTTTTTAATTTATCACAAATTTAATTTTGTAATGGTAAAGGTCTGGATAATATTTTATTTTTAATTGAGAAATACATTCATTGCAAGTGACTGAAATGAGAATGTTCAACAAAGAGACTTCATTAGTAAAATCATACATTTATAGTTCATTTGGCGGTACTCTAAATGATAATAAATTTATAGTCCATCTCAACAAGGGTTAATTCTAACAGTAATCTATACCCAGTCTTTTTAGTTATTACTTTTGGTTAGCCTTTTAACCATAACTTATTTTCTTGTGCCAGCACATATTTTTTTTTCTAAGACTAATTGTTTGAATCAGATGCTTACAATTCATTTGGGACAAGATGAAAACGACTGCTTCTCTGCCTGGGTCTCGTCAAAAGAAGCTGGTCTTGCTCCTAATGAAATGGTTGACCAAAAAGGTAAGTCAATGCAATTTTATGTTTGATACTTTAATATTCCTATAAAATTTCAAGCTGTTTGGTATAATTTTAGATTTTAATCTAATATACTTTATACAATAAGGGTTTTTCTCTTAAACATCCTTTTTTTATCCGTAGCTAAATTGTTTTTTTTTACTCGCCCTACTATATTGCAAGATGTTGGGGAGCGAGCTGGTCTAGTGGTTAGAGCGCAGGGCTTCAGTGCCTGGGGTCCTGGGTTCAAATCCCGCCAACTCACCAATGGATTTTATCATCAACCAATTGATAATGCCTAGGGTCCTAGGACAAAAAAACAAAAAACTAATAATGCACGATGCGCACGGGCCCCCTCCTCTTTGTAATTGTTATTTCTATAAAAAGTACATGACTGTGTTGACTAATGTACATAAGATAATTTCTGCATTTCAGTCAACTATGGAAACCTATTATTGAAAGCCTTGTTGGAGAATTGGTGGACAACAGTGCATGTTGATGAAGAGACTGAGATATCAGGCGATGCCCACAACATGCCTCAGCAGTCCAAGTTTGGAAACGAGTACTTCAAAGTTCCTGGCCACACGCCATTGATTTTTAGGTGACTATTCCATTGTGTATAGGCTAATAGGATACCGTTCAACAAAACACATTTAATTCTTTATGCTATACGAGGTCACATAATAATCTTTAAATTTATCTATAACTGAGTAAAACTTTTTTAAGATTTTAACGTATGATAGTATCAAATTTATACTTATAATTTAAAATTTTGTAATCTGTCACTAATTACTATGGATATCAATGTTGTAAAATATTACTTAATGGCTTTGAGAATAACATGGACATTTCGAACTCCAGTATAAACAGGCTATGGGGATTTAAATTAACCCAGTCCATCAATTAACCAATTCTTTGGTCGAAAACCGAACCAAAAATATCGAGTGTAAAGACTTCTGTATTTTCACCCCACGCTGTAAATAAAACATGTGATTGGAATTTCTTCCATTAGTTTTGATTTTCTGTTTATATTTCGTCACCAGCATGGCAACCGATAAGGCCTATGTTATTTCTTTTTAATTTTAAATTTATTTTTTGTGCTTATTTTTGAGCTTATTTTAATTTATAAAGGGATTCTGTACACCTACAGGAAAATATCTTTCTAACAGTATACGTAGATCTTCCCTACGGGCAGATGCACACGAGCTGAGAAAAAAGGTTTAACAGAAACATGCTTGCCTGACATGAATGCAGGGTGGATGTAGAAAGATGATCTGTGTATCTTTGTTACTGACCAATACTAACCAAGATCAGCTGTTTTATTAGCCAGGATAAATTATTTACCTACGACCGTTTTTTAAAGTAGCCATTTCAGTCCAGCTCTTAGAATTGAAAAGTTTCACTTTACAGCTGTTTACTTTCATATCCGCATAGTTTCATTTCATATCCGCATAGTTTTCTCATATCCACACAGGTAACGGACCAATGAGGTTCAAGTATTGAGAGAAAAGAATTAAAATTGTAATGCTTCGAACGTCAACTAATCAGCTGATCAGCTGATCAGTTGACCAATTTAATTGTTGATCCGACTTGTTCATGTTGATACTCGCGTATTCTTAATTAAGTTGGTGGAAGTCCAAAAATAAATGAAATATTTGCCGAATTGTACCTGATACAATATTATTTATGGTAAGAATGCTGCTAGCAATGTAATATTTAACGAAGTTTAACAAACACGTAATTACAGGAAATCAGCTGATTATACAACAAGTCGTTGCATCACTTTCAGTGGCAATGACAATACACGAAAACATAACCTCTCTAAAAAGTTATCAGTAGTGATTGTTAGTAATTAAATCCAGATTGATAGTAATTAAAAAACGGTCGTAGGTAAAGTAGTGTACGCAACTCGCGTTAATAGTCTTTACGCAATCGTTGCGTAAACTACTATTTTAAGCGCAATGATCAGGGTCAGCTGGGTGCAGTTACAAGTCATGAAAAACCTACTGATTTGTTCAGGATCATTCCAGCAACCTTTTAATTGTTTAAGCTCTCAGCTAATCAGCTATCAAGCATCTTAGATGTTCTTTTGCACTTTTACTTGCTTCATAGTTTATGGTTTTCACTTCGAATTTTTCGAAGTCAAGTATCGCATTCACCAGAAATTCCTTACAAATTTTAATTACTGTTTTTTACTTGAATGTTCCTATCTGCTTACTGGTGGTTGAAGTATCATACAATTTAAATTACATCAAGTGTAAACTCAATGGTATAAATGTTTACAGCTCTACAGCTCTGATATGTTTTTAAATTTTCCAGTGAGGTGGGGGGAAGAACTTTGTATCGTCTGTTGGTGAGAGATGCCGGGGGTGAAACTGAGACTGTACTGCTGAATGAGACTGTACCTTCATGGGTAGTGGACATCATAGTGGAGAAGAACATGCCAAAGTTCAACAAAATACCTTTCTATCTCATACCATTGCCTTCTGCTGGAGCCAAGAATTCCAAGAGGTATGTTAATTATTTGTTAAACCGCAAATTTTCAGTAGTTATCGTACTTTGCTTTGTTGTATCTTTAAACACAATCTCTGCTCAAATAAAGTTGTGTCACTGTCAGCTTCTATATTCTATTTTAGTTAACAAAATTGTGAAGCCATAGAAAAGCCATAGAATCTGATTGAGTTCTATTTTGATTTTCATATTTGTATAGCATAATATTATGATTACATGCTATAAAAGTATATTTTTTACCTAGGGCCGAAAATGCCAGCTTGAGATAGTTTTTAAGTTCGAGGCGAAGTCGAACGACGAAGGTCGAGAAACTTAAAACGATCGAGAGCTGCAAAACCATTTCGGTCCGTGGTACGAACGCTATTTTTTACCACACTATACCCTATTACCACTATTCACCACAATAATAATGCACACTGATAGTTGACACAGCTACAACTTAAAGGTTATGCAAAGAAATAATTTGAAGAATCAGCAAAAATAATAATAAATAGTTGCTAGGCATGGTGATAATAAAACAATTCTATTGTATTCTATTCTATTCTGTATGTTCAAGAATAAAGTATTCTGATTCTGATTCTGATTGCAATGCTATGGATACTGATTGTGTAGGATACCTATTTAATATGCATTCATGTTTTAAGTAAGTAAGCGGGCAGCTGATTTTGCGGCCCTAGGGATGTAAAAACCTGCTCGGTCCCCAAATAATGACGATGACAGCTGGCATGGCCAGCAAAACATAACTTTCAGCCACCAATTAACGTATGTAAAATAGCTAAAAACATCATAGTGTAGTGAAAAATTATTTACATTAATACTTTTTTTCTTTCTTTTAATACTTTCTTATTAAATGGCGACCACCATACAAAGTAGGTATTTTAAGCCAAGTATGAATGGAGATGAGTGTAGGATGAGTGGCGCGATCTTGTAGTCTTGTTAGTGACTAAGGCCGACACTCCTTAGACACAGCTGTTAATTAATAGCCCATACAGCTAATGGTAACTAAGGGACCTACAGTTTATAGTGAAATCCTAACCACATTTTTGCCTTGGTATATACGAATTGGTCTAATTATCAGGATAGAACTGCGGATAGTCGTAGTACTCACTCCTGCGGACGTTAATCCACACCAGGGAGTATCGCATCCACAGTGCATGCCTATAAATATCCACAGTTCGTGACCTCCTAGTAGCTGGATTACAGGACGACACCACCCGTGCCAGTCAACATTGAACATATATTAGCAGCCAACTGGTTAAAGTAAAGGTCTTTTTATGGAAAATATTCTTAGGTTAAGGCAGTACCCTACGATTTATATGCATGACATAAAAATTCAAACTTAACTGTCTTTGTTCAATTTTATGTCAATACCTATGCCAGGAGAATTTTGTGCAAAAGTGAATCAAACCCTTTTTAAAGAAATGTATTTTAGCTCAAATTACAATTTTTTTTGGGAATGCCGAAAATTAAATTTGTTACCACCACAGTTTGATATGCTGACCATATCCATCCAATGTTCAGAATTTATTTTTATTTTGTTAACCCTTGAGCTGGCATGCGCCCGATATCGGGTGATGTATGCTGCGGCCGAAATGGCATTGTCACGGAAGTTGCCGATTTTTGCACAAAAATGAAACAAATTTCACTTAATATAGTATTTATTCGGTTTAGAAATTAATAATCTGTCGATTGATATGCATTTCAACTATTTGTCCGCCTTTGGGAAAACTTAAAACTCAATGAAAATAACGCATCAGCTGACAACATTGTCATGATGACGCAGTCGCTTATTACCGACGTCTGTTGATGCTTATTTCGTATTGTGTTTGGTTAGTTTCGGTGTTTTGGCGTTATACTTTAAGTTTTATTTTTTATTGAAATCTGAGTTGAAATGAATTGAATTGAAATGGATTCTGTAGGGATGTAATATAACTTGAGTATTATATAAGTTATTTCTTGTATGAAGTTGGACATGAATGTTTTGCTTTGAGTATTCGTGTAGGTTGTACAACTAATATGTAGGCTATATGGTAATAAAAACTGTTATATGTATTTTTTTTTAAGGAAAACAAGGTACATATATTATATATCGTTCTTTTCCTCATGAAATTGTGCACAATTTGTATATTTTGAAACATTATTTTGAGGTCATTGATTTGTGTTATAATATGGAATATAAATGCATATAAATATACAAATTTCCGCTTAGTAAATACCATATACAATTTTTTTTTGTAAATTAAAATTTCACATCTAAAATTTATATCAAATTATTCCTTGTTTTTTACTGAAATAAGCATATATTGATATGATATATTTACAAACTTATTTACTGTATAAAAAAGTGTTATAAAAAATGTTGCGCGACCCATCAAAAAACCCTTGCCACCACAGCATAAAAAGACCATCAGCTCGAGGGTTAAGACATAAGTTCGAAGCTAACGTGAAATCCAAAACAACACCCGCAGTCTTGGAGGAAACAAAAACATTTACCTAGGTCAAAGAGACAAAATCATTGAGCGCGTTCTGGGAACATGTATCGGTGCAAAAAATGTGTTGTTCTGGGAGACCGGTGAGTTTCCCTAGCAGACAGCTATTTCCTCTTTTTCCTCCACCGGTGCAAGATTTATGCACCGGAGAAATTGTACGGTGCATAATACACCGGCAGCCTCTGATTGGTCAGTTTCTTTGACAACAGCTTGTAGCTACGGCAAGATGGCAGGTCCACCGAATAATGTTCAGTTCATTAGTTTTACAGTATAGGTTATGTTATGTTGCGTAATGAGTGAACCATTTGTTCAATGAGGGGGTTATATTACGTAATAAATAATAAATAATAATTTTTAAATAATTTATTCCGTGAGGGCAAGTCTGTTTGTTTGATTTAAATATTATTAAGCAAATAGTAGGTGAATGTGTGAATTATAATCCGATGTGTACCGTAAACCGGTGACTAACCGTTCTGGGATACCAAGACTCTTGCCCCGGTGAGTAAGTCACCGGTTAATCTGCACCGGTGCACCGGTACATGTTCCCAGAACGCGCCCATTGTCTTCAGCTCGCAAAAAAGGTTTGGCACAGTCACTGCGATATTGTAAAAATCTTCTGAGGTTACACGGAATATTCGTGAATATGGCCAAATTGTGAAGATCTTCTGCAGTCAAGGTGAAATCGAAAAAAAAACATCTTTTGCAGTCATGACAAAACCATGAAGAATCAAGTCACGCGGTCGGAAAGACATCTCCCGCAGTTGCGGCAAAACGGTGATCATCATCCGCAATAGTGATGGTAATTTATTATAATTATAGGTTTCGATCACAGTCAAATTAGAATAGTAGGACTCCACAATGTAGTCAATTTATTATGTGATAAACAACCTCGCAGTGTTTTTAAACATTGGATACCTTGTTACAGAGACAGACTGATAGCAAACGACTTCATACAGATGCACAAGGTGGCCGAGCATGTGTATGAGAAGGTGCTTGGATCAGACTCAGGCTCCGTGGCAGTGTCCCCTGGAATGGAGGACCAGGACAACGGATCTTTGGCCGAGGAGAAAGTGGAATTGCTGTGCAATGATCAGGTGTGAGAATGTTAAATAAATTATTGTATTCAATCAGTATCAGTCCTCTTAACTATTTTTTACACTCAATTTTCAGCTAGGAGAGATTTTGGTCAGAGCTTTACACCATATTTCTATCGCTTTGTATTCCATCGTTATAAAAATTCATAAACATTTTTTCAGGTATTGGATCCTAACATGGACTTGAGGACGGTTCGACAGTTCATCTGGAAAACCTCAGCTGATCTGGTTCTACACTTTAAGCCAATCAAGGGCCTGTCAACAATCTCTCAAAGAACTTGATAAGTGTTACATTCCAATGAATAATTTTATATCTGTACAATTTATTTTTTTAAATATTATTTATGGTGTTTTAAATGCCCTGTACATAGTTCAGTATTCGTATTTTGTGATACTTTTGTTATTTATATAACTTATACATTTAATTTTAAAATTAACTGTTTATCTAAGCATAGTTGAATATTGTAAGGTTGATATTGCTGTTATTTAATGAAGTCATTAGAAATAAATATGGTGACATTGGTAGACTACCTACTAGTTGATCCACGACATAATGAAGTGTTTAATTTTTATTGAATTGTTATAGCGAATTTCCCATATAGAGAATAAGCTATTACCGTAGGTCTCATAGTAAGACCTAGACCCCGCCAGGACCGCTTTGCTTTTTCGTTTTGATGTCTCCAGAGGCCAAAAACCCCATCCGTTCATATAAATATTTGACCATTTGCATGATAACTTTAGCAAAATCATATACAATTTTGAACAAATTTGGTACAAACGTTGTTGCATACTAGTTCACCACTTTTCCTTATTTTTATTCCAAATTGATTTCAATATATTTATAATTTTATTTCCTCTTAGTTCTAATTACAATTTCCTATCTTACTTTCCCATCCTAATTTCTTGACAGCTGAAAGTTATTTAATTTAATGTTTTTATATATCATACTTTTGATTATTATAAAAAAAAACATTGTGTTTCTATCTTCAATACAATCACCACGAATAATTTTATTCTCAATTTTATTTTAAAACCCACATACAATTTTTCATGGGATTCAAGCAAAATATTATTCATTTTACCTTTAAACTACATTATACAATCCGTATTATGAACATTGTTAAATTGTACATGAAGGAGAAGACATTTTTATTGTGATACTTTTAATCATCAAGACAATGAATGAACTTGAACTTAAATTACTCAAGAAGCTATGAATCCTTACATACACAAAACATGAACAAGAAAACATGAAACAAAAATTGGTCAATTATAGCATACCTAAGTACTCCTTTTTAACATGGTGTTATTTAAATAGGAAATAAATCTGATAAATTTAAGATAATTTTTTGGTGTTGTTATTTAGTCTGCATTTTTTCTGCAGCGGCAGTATTTTACTTGCCTGTCAATCCATGCTGCTAGGAACACGCTTTAAGAAATGTCAGAAGTTTATTGTTTTAAGAATTTTCGAGATCAAAAATTAATTTTGTTAGTACATTCCAGTAGTATATTCTAATTTAACGTGACCTTAACTAGCAGTGTTTCAATGTAGATATAATTTTTAAAAATGATTAATGTCTTACTGTATTTTGTAGTAAACATTTTGAAAATTTAGCTTGCTGTTGCTTGTTGTATTAGCGAATTTCCCTATAGGGAAGTAGCTATTACCATAGGTGGCATGGTAAGACCTAGGCCCGGGACCGATTTACTTTTCCATTTTGATGTCCCCAGAGGCCAAAAACACCATTCGTTCAAATTTGTATATATGTATATATATATATAGATTTATATATATATGTGTCCGTGAACGCGATAACTTGAGTAATTTTTGTCCGATTTTGATGAAATTTGGTTTAAAGGTATAAAGCGCGATAAACTTGAATGAGTTCGCAAACCAGCATGATCGGACTATGGGAACGGGGGTTTATGGGGGGTTTTGGGGGGTAAAAATAGTTTTTTCCCATTTTGACCCTATAAACACAAAATTTCACAATTTCTTTCTAAACCATTTTGTAGAGCTTAAAAAACAAATAATTTAGTATATTGAAGCGTTGTTATGCGCCTAATGGTTACGGAGAAAATTCAAAAATATTGTAATTTTAAAATTCCCATGTTATTCTTATGGAGAATAAGTCAACTGTTGTAGTTTGCTTGTTTATGAACATATTTTGATCAAATTTGGAAAATACATTAATTTCTTACTAAACTACAGTAGGCCTACCTATTAACATTTTACATAAAAAAAATACTTTTTACCCTCCCTGTTGCAGCAAACCTAAGTTTTACTCGTTAAACTAATTCCTTTTAAATAGGGAATAAATGTGATATTTTTAAGGAGACATTTTAGTGTAAATCCAATCAGGCAAATGGAAATTCGCTAAGTCTGCAGGTTTGCTGCGGCGGGGGTATTTTTATTATTTTGAAACAATTTTTAGTTAAGGGTTAGAAGATGTATTTTGGTGAATTACTCTACAAGAAACATGAAAGGAAATGAATATACAGTTTTATGCTAGTATCATAAATGCATCAATAATCAATTGATTTAGAAGATTTTCATAAAATTAAATCTTCTATTAGACTGGCATGGAATGAAAGAATTGTGTAAAAACCTTAATATATGCAGCAGGGCTTTATTTAATATTTACATTATTTTCTTGTTATTTCTATTTTTTTAAAGTTATTTTTGTTTCTGCACTATGATTATGAATTTTGAATATAATGTAATTGGATCCCTGTATGAATGACTCTTTTAAGATAAGAATTGTACATTTGTGAATTATGTTGATGTTAATAAATTTATTGGATATTGAATAAGTCTAATTATTCATACATTTTTGTTGTATTATAATAGTATTACAACAATTTTTAAATACTCTTACCTAATACTACCAGTTACTTGGGATCACGATGTAAAGTGCAGGTCTGATATTTGAATTAGCTTGGTCGTGAGCTTAGTGGAGACCTTATTTCACGTATAATCCTTGTATATTAATCTACAAGGCCGGAAAGTATGTGTTTACAGTACAAGTAGGATAGTTTCCATGCGAGGCTTGTGTAACGGTGGGTCCTCTACTTGAGGTACCCACTGTTACTTTGGGTAACGTAGCTCAGGAATGAAACCCAGCACTCGCTTACAAAACCCAACTTTATTAATACTCAAAACAACACAAAGATAAACTAACAATCAAAAAGGTATAGTAGACTAGAACTGTATAAATCATTTCTTAGAAACTGAAACCCCAATTTGGAAAAGACTCTAAACCCCAATTTGGAAAACCCTTAACATTGCCTTACCTGGACCCAAGGCCAAAGAGCCTTGGGCTCCAGTTCCCCCAGCAGGACCTCGTCCTCTGGTGCACCACACAAACACTACCCACCAAAACTGACCCCTTGATCAAGTGCACTGGCCTACTTAAAGCAACAGCCTTCTATAGGTCAGCACAACAAGTTATTGTTTAACAACACTACCAGCCTACTCACACAACATTAACATTGCCAAACACTTCCTCTTTACAATATTTGACCCTCCTATTACACTTGTCGAGCGAGGAATTGCATGTGAATCGAAGTTATTTGAAGTTATAAAACACAGTAGGCCTACAGTATTTGCATTCTTGTGGTGGGCTGCCTCTACACATGGGGGAGGCAGCTTTGTTTAAAACCTCACAAAATAAAACGGTAAATTTACCTGCCTTACTTTACTGGTATTTTTAAACAATAATTTTCTGCCCTAAAAAGAGTGCAGAAACCACCTGCTTACTGTGTAGTGTGATGAAATTTGTTAAAGTTGAGTAGGTCCATACTGCTGAACTTGATGGTTTTTGGGTTGAGATGAGGGCAATGTTAATTGTAACTACTGATGTTTGTTGACATTAGTATTCGTATTCATATGTATCTGTATTGTATTGGATGAAGAAGGAAGGTAATGAAGGGAGAATTTTAATTGAGGATTTGATGTCTTCTTCGATATGAAATGAAATGAAATGAAATGATTTATTGTCGTTAAAACTATGTACAAAGTTCATGACAATCGTCAAAATAAAAACAAAACAATCAAGATGGCTCTGGCAACTAAAATATCTAAAACTCTAAACCAAAGTACTCTTCATGTTTATACAGGCAAGCCTGGGTTAGAGTAGTTTTTAAAACATGTTTGAATTTTAAAACACACAGGTTTTTGATGGATGCAGGCAAGAAATTGTACATAAATATTACGTCATGTACAATCAATGGCTAGCTTCACTATTACTCTACAAGTGCATAAAATCAAAGACTTTGAATAGTGCAAGCAGTGCCAGATTTACTACTAGGCTGCAGCATGGCCGCAAGCAAAAGGGGCCACAGGGTTTTGTACAAATACAATGTTTTTAAACAAAAATTCAATTGTAATGTATTAAATAACGCGGATGACGAGAATTATGCAACCCAAAGCATTTTTAAAGAACGATGCCGCCGAGAACGAGGGTGATAATGTTGATGTCCCCGTAACTGCAGGAGATGTTCTCGATTTATCTGTCGTCGCAAATGATGATTTCCTCCTGATCCTAGGAAATGTTAATTAATTTGCTGCTATTGTGGGTGACGATCATGATGTCCTCGAGATCGCAGGTGATGTTCACAACTTCTCCGTGAGAGCGAAGTGATATTCACGATTCAGGGGCCATTGCGAAAAGTTCCCACCTAAAGGGCAGGGGCCGCTTGAGTTAAATTGGCCTAGGGCCACAGGTACCTAAAATTCGGCACATAGTGCAAATAGTTAAACATATATTGTTTTTTCTTAAAACTTAAGACTTGTTTTGTGTTTATCTCATCCAATGCAATATTTTTAAAGGGATTGGTCTAAATATCTTGCCTTGTTATCTGATGTACTCCTTTTATTGTTAGATAGAATCATTAATTTATAGGTCAATGGCATACAGGCCCAGAACCAGAATCCAGTATAAACCATACGACAAAGTATAAATATGCAGCAATTAGCAGTACAACAGTACAAGGAAGCCAACTTTGTCGGGTGACTGTAGGAAATAGTTATTTGTGTAACTAGTGGTGAAAGTGGCACTTTGCTGCACACGAGAGCAATGTTTACGCACGAGCCGCAGGCGAGTGTGGAATGATCTCGAGTGGAGCAAAGGGCTTTTTCACTCTGTTACACATTATATTTTTCCTACAGTCACTATAAAGTATTAAAAGTATATAAATAATTAGTCTTTCAAACACCATACAACACGTTTTTAGGTTCAGCTGGCAACACAAATGGTGCCCTAGAGAAAGTAGTACCCGCGGTCCGTATCACTCCGCTATTTTTCCTCGGCAAGAAATGTGCTCCGCGTTTTGAGAATATAGTTCCGTATGTTTTTGTAATTTGAAGTGGTTTCCGCGCCTAAAATAAATGCTTTAAAGGTATTTTCTTGTTTATTAAGATCGTAGGAATGTTTTAAAAACGTTTAAAAGAAAAGTCCAGAAAGTTCAGAAATACCGAAACTATAAACACGAAATGACAGGTTAAATCGTAGTTATAATAGTCAAATAGCTGCTCATAGTATAATTATCTTTAAGTGTTGCCAACCTATTTCCAAGCGTAAACGGATTACGTGCATAATAGAACCACGCAGTTTTGTGTTGTTTCGGTGGAATCCTGATGTGCGGCAAAGTATAAACCGTACGGCAAAGTATAAACCGTACGGCAAAGTATAAATATGCAGCAATTAGCAGCTTTCTGTACTATAAACAGTACAAGGAAGCCAACTTTGTCGGGTGACTGTAGGAAAAATATATTTGGTATGACTACGCAAAACAGCTGCATGGTCCAATACCAAGCCTACCGCAAAGCATCATGAAAAAAACGAAACGAACATCGGAACGGAACATAACCTGTGGTTGTGGTGTTGTGAATGTTTGTTAGGTTAGGATTAATAATAAAAAAAATACCTCACATCTAGGCCTAGGCCGACCTTGTTCTATGCTGTAGCTGACAACTTAACATATTTGTTGTGGTATCCAATCACTGGATTCCAATCGTTTTCCCTACCATGATTTATATTTAATTAGGCCTAGGCCTAATATTTTTATTTCGTGCCACAGGATTAAACTTATTTTATGTCAATATGAAAGTAAAGGTGTTGACTAGAAATCCTGACCATTACCTAAGAGAAACCAAGTCAGATATTTTTAAAGGTAGGCCTATGTATAAGATTTATTTGTGCCTGATAAGTTACTAATATATAGACTATGTAATATAACCATCTCCACAGAATAACTTAAGTAGGCCTAGGCCTACCTAATAGGCTATTGGTGAGTGCAGGCTCCACTTAATTGTTATTGTAGCCTATCAGTTACTTACTTAGCCTATTGCAAGTTACCAAACTAGGCAAGTTAAACCATAGTGAATGAATGTTTTAGTGAGTCGGTGGCTCAGTCGGTAGCGTCGCGGACTTCGGGCCCAAGGTAGCGATGTCGTGGGTTCGGATCCTGGTTACTGCCAATAACATTTAATCAGTACAGTTCACCTTTGTACTGTAACGGCTCACTCCTTGCTTTGCTGTAAACGATCCACGCACGGGCGCTTAGTCTATGTGGACGGGCAAATGCAAGGTTAAAAGAGGCCACCAACCTCTTTTTTTAAATAAATAAAAATAAATAAATTATCCCTTTTAAATTAATTGAGATAGTAAACCTACTTTGTAAATTACACTAATACTGAAACCCCGGGTCTATGAGACTCCATTTGAAAAATAATGGACCCCGCTTAGAAACACACAAACCTAAACCCTCAGCCTGTGAGAGCCCGCTTTAAAATACACTAACGTTGGGCTTCTGAGACGGACATGTTATGAACAGACAACCTGTCAAGGTCACGGCACCCATGCAAAATGAACAAACAATATATCAATAGGTAGGGGAAGAAAAGGGGGAAGGTATTGGGAGAATGGAATCTCCCAAGCACGGTAAACAGTGTTGCCAACATGCGTTTTTGAAAATTCCCTAGGGCCTGTCAGACCGGGATTTTGGTATTACTGTTAAACTTAAATAGGCCCTAGGCTAACAGATTTCAGTCTAAGCTAGGACTAGGCCTACTACCTATTTCATTCCTATTTTATGTTTAAAGCTCCAAGGAACTATGATCCCAGCCTTCATCCATTTGAGGCGCCACGAGAGTATGTTCGAGCCCTGAATGCTGTGAAGCTAGAGAGAGTTTTTGCCAAACCGTTTATTGGAAATTTGGATGGCCATAGAGATGCGATATGTTGCTTGAAGAAACATCCCAACAAGTTAGCTCTGTTATCAAGTGGAGATTTCAATGGAGAGGTGAGAGATTGATCAATATACAGTACATATCACATCAATACAGTTGGGCTAACTTAAGTTATTGTTTTTAAGGTGGCTCTGCTATCGAGTAGACATTTCAGTGGAAACAAGTAAGTTAGATCATTTTGTATGGAAATGTGACATAAGATAGCCTATTGCCTTAAGTGTTGAATGGCCAAATTAATTAGGCCTATTGAGATTTTGATACCTATTAAGTACTTAAGTTATATTGTTTATTTTATATGAAGAGGGATGGGTTATACGTTTGTGTGACACTTCCAAATCCCCCTTGTTTAAAAATGTGACCGACATCCACATTAAAATAGAATTAAGTGAATTCAAGCAAGCATAGCTGGATTAACAGGTATTGATAGCTCAACTAATTTGGAATGTATGTTTCATTCCCCTCAATGCCTATTGTAACGATACATTATTTAAGTTAATGGCAATCTTAAGTTAATGGAAATCAAGTTAAT